GCGAGCGCACGCGCCTTATAGGGAAAACCTCTCTGGGAAAAAAAAAAAAAAAATAAAAAAAGAATGGTGGTGGAAAGCACAAACATAGCAGAAGAGAAGCTGCAGCTCTGTGCCATGAGCCCTACTTATTCACAATGGGGAATGGGGGCACTGTCTCTTGTTTTTCATTCCTCAACCTCCACAGGAGCATGCCTGCCTGGACATCTACTATTCCTGGTATTAGAAACCTCTCGGGGCCAGCAGGTGGTATGGTGGCTAAGGCACTGGACTCTCACAGAGTCAACTTCAGTTCAAGTCCTAGACCCAGCAGCTTAAATATCACACTGGGTACATGTGTGTGCCTGTCCAAAATCCCAAGAGGAGAGTGGAGGAGAAGGGATTGTGGCATGGCCATCCCCCTTGGGGGTGAGTTTTCACTTTCCTTCTTTCTGTCTTTCTCTTTCTCCAGCAAGTGTATGAGCACCATGGCCAAAATCTTAAAAACAAACAAAAACCCCCTTGGCAGTGGCTGGCCTTGGTCCCTAGCACCTGGCCCATAGTGAGACGGAGTTCATGAACACTGACAAATACCAATGGCATGGAATGTCAGCATTTTGCAGGGCAAGAAGCACTCCGATTCCACCAGGGCTGTGTGAACAAAGGGAAGAGGGTGCTGCCATTCAGCTGTAGGAGGAAAGGATGCGTGACTTCAGACTGAAGGGGACACCAAGTGGGTGTCCAACTCTTCTCTCAAACCTGACCCTGGACTGTGAAACCCAAACGTGAAATCCGGGGCTGGGTGCACACACAGTGGCTATAAAGAATGTCACCCGGAGGACCCAACAACGCAGGGCTTCCCGCAGGCTACTACTCTAATGTCCTCAATTTTGTTCCCTTCACCTTAAGACTGAGTCTACAATCAGCCTGAGAGTAGGGATGCATGCCTGCAGGTGTAGGTATATAACACTATCGCACTTCCAACGAGATGAACCCCATGGGATTCTTTTGGCCTCCGCTTTGAAAGTTTCAAAGGAAGCCAAAAAGGCAAGTGGACATGATCGCTGCCCTCACTCCCTATGGTTACCACTCTGCTCTGCCACACTAGTCTCTCACCTCCACACATGCTTGGTCTCGTCCTGAGACTCTTGCTCCTGCTACTGTCCATACTCAGCACGTTCCCAAAGAAGGCTGGGATGACCCTCAGCAGTCAGGCCTCTCTTAGCTCTTGAGCAGCAAAAGCCTCATTTCCACTCAAAAGGGAGCAATCTTATTTCCACTCACACAGCGATTCTGGGTGCTCTGAGTCCCTCCCTTCCAAGACCATCCACACTCACCTCTTCACAAAGCTTCCCCCACCCTTCACTGCAAGACCTAGTGACTATATCCCAGACAAAATGGAGCCATTCGCATTTCCTGGAGACACCTCGGCCAAGCCTCAGGCTGACCACGATACCAGATCCTATATTCTCCAAGGCTTAGCTCCAAGGTAATTTTTCTCCAAGAAGCTGGACTTGGACAAATCCCCTCACATCCTGCATGTGGAACTGAGTGAGTGAGCCCAAGCGCAGGTGTCTTGGTTTTCTTTCTCTCTCTCTCCCCCTTGTTTTTTTTTTTTTTTAGATTTTTGCCATAGGGTGCACTCACTCGCTCGAGAGACAGTACAAGGAATGGCCATACCACAATCCCTTCTCCTCCTGAGACTTTGGGTATGCACTAAACCACGGTCAGCCATATGGGACTCTAGCACCTTAACCACCAAGCCTGTCTTGGTTTTCTTTAAACATAAGGAGTCCCAAGACCAGTAGTTGGCATAATGGCTATGTGGCTCGCATTCTAATGTAGTCGACCACAGTTCAAGTCCCGAACCCGGTGGCTTAAACTCACACCAGGCACATGTGCATGCATGCCCAGGATCCCAAGAGGAGGAGAAGGGATTGTGGCATGGCCACAATCGCTTTCTGTCTCTCTCTCTTTCTGGCGAGCGTATGTACCCTATAGCAAAAACCTCTCCAAAATAAATAAATAAATAAACAAACAAACATGGGGAGTCTCAAGTCTGTGCTTATTCTGATTTTCCCCTTCCTAGTGAGCTAGGGTGTTTTCATGGGAAGTAAGTACCAGGTGACGTGCCCTCTGTCTATGATTTCCTTTCTGGGGGTGGGGGAGAAGAGATGGTAAAGGAATCTTTTTATAGGACCAGTAGGTGGCATGGGGCGAGTGACTTCACTCCTGGGGGGGGTGGTCATCTCTCACTTTCCCTCTCTCTGTTTCTCTCCAGCAAGCACACATGCCCTATGGTAAAAGCTTAAGGAAAAAATCCTTTCCTTCTTTTTACTGTTTGTAGAGTCACAGTAAAGAAAGATGAGCACATACAGGGGACAAAAGGGCAGGATGGAGGGGGGAGAAAAAAACAGAGTAATCTAAAAATCAAACATCTACCAACAAGACAGACAGATGACCGCAGTGTTTTCCCAAGATGGACGGCTGTAAAGAGCTCAAGACAACAGTACAGAACCTCACCAACACGATGAATGAATCTTACAGCACCGAGCAGAACCAAGACACAAAGAATAATCGCATTCGTTTTCTGGTTTCAAGTCAACTATCATATAAAGAGATTTGCATTGGGGAGGCTGTTATAAAAAAAACCTTTCGTTTTACTCTTTCCTTAGCAGGGTTACTGTTGCGACGGTACTGATGTAGTTGCTGGAAACATAGGTTCTCACTGAGAGAAAAGACATACAAATTCAGAACCGGAGGAGGTGAAAAGGAGTCCTGTGATACTATTTTTGAATTGGGGGTGTCAACATGAGCTCATGAATTTTATATTTCTATGTTTTAGGTTTATATATTTCCTTCTTAGATGAGAGAGAAAGAGGAGACAGAGATAATACTCCTGGCAAGGTCTCGATGCCATGATCCACTCTGGCCTCAGCCAGCCCTGGATCACCAGGGTGCATGTGTGCCTAGTGTACTCAGGGAGGTCTCCAGACATAAACCAGGCACCTTCACATGTGGGCCAGCCTCACAGAGTGTCAAGAGCATCATGTTTTCCTGCTGTGACACTGTCCAGCCCCAGCTCCTAACTTTTTAAAAATGACATGTTCCCTCAGTAATAGGGTAGCTAGGGCAGGGCCTACCTGATTGAGTCCTGGAAGGTTTATACGGGGAGAAAATGAGGCAGACAGAGATCCACATGGAACACGGACCATGCTCTATCTGCCACACCTACCACCCTCTCTGCTTCTGTCAGTCATGATGAGATACAGTCAGCCTAATGCTGGCCTCATGGCTTGGGACTTTTCAGCCACCAGAATAATGAGTCAAATAAACCTTTACTCCAAGTGGTGGGGGGATTATTGCCAGAGAGTAAATACTCTTATGAGAGAGAGCACGAGAACCCACTAGTAGGCATAGTCACATCACAATCCCTTCTCCATTTCTCCATTCGCTCAGGATTTGGGGCATACACACACATGCACCTGGGATGTCTCTCAAGCTGACAGAACCAGGATTTGAACTGTGGTCAGTCAACTGGGATCCGGCTCCCTTATCCCTACACCACAGGGCTGGCCCTAATTCTCTATTCTATAGAAATCACAGAAGCCCAGGTAGTTCTGGAAGCAGCACACAAAGAGCTAAGACACCTACCTTTTTTGTTCAGTTGCAGAACGGAAGGAGGCGGTGTGGCGACCTTCACAGCCAGGCCATAGGCACCTCGGAAGGAGTGGCTGTCCCGAACGATGAAGGACCCGGGCTCCTTGTCCTTCAGCATGGCAATCGCTAGAGGAGGGAGGAGAAAGGCATGAGCATCCGTGGCCACCAGTGACCTCAGCACCGGTCCTATTCCTACTCTTCTTTCAGACTGTACTGGTGAGGAGCCAGCTAGGAGGAGTGACGCAGAAGACGCAAACATCTACCCTCTTCAGCTGAGGGCCCTTGGGTGCTCTCTGCAGTCCCATGGGTTTTTCAGGGCTGGGTCTGACCACGAGGCGGTGAAGCAGACAAGAATGTCTCTCTCACCTGTGGATTGCATATGGCTTTCTGCTAACATCACAGCAGAAATATCTTTGACATCCAAGTGAAAGTCTTACCCAACAATCCAGTACACTGAGGCACAGCCGGAGGGGGGGAACTGAATTTGGCCCAAACGTGTCCCATGTTGGGGACAGGAAGCAAGACAGGGTGACCATGCCACAGCCTCTTAGACTCCTTTTGGGACTTCCTGGTGTTTTTCTTAAAAGACTTTAGCGCTGGGCTCTTTCAATAGAGTAAGGAACTTTCTACTCACACTTTCTGAAAGTAGAATGGGTCTACCTCAAAACATTTCTGAATATTTAGTGCAACTTCCAAGATTCACCTCAGAGAATAGCAAAAATGGGACCCTCTGTGCCCTGTCCCCATGGCAGACATTGCTGGATAGGCCTAGTCTCACTCTGGCCACCATCGGCCAAGAGCCTGGCACACAATCTCCATCTTCCACAGGTGAGGTTGGGAGGCATCTAGCTGATCATAAAACCATCCCTCCCCTTCATAGTCAAAGCCCGGCATTCCCAAGTCCTCTTTATGACATCCTAAGGAGAGGAAAGGGTTAGGGAATGAGTAACCTCAACTAGAGGCTGCCCAGACACAGGTCAAAAAACCCTCTAACAGAAATAAATCTCAGAACTTCTTTTACAGACATTTACTCTACTCTTAAAAAAAGCGAGAGAACCAAGGATTTATAGAATAAAGTTATACAAAATGACGGCCGTGCAAAGGCTGCCTTATGGATGCTAAAGGCTCTGTCTGGAAAGATCAGGGCACAAGACACAAACGTGGGTGGCAGAGCCTCCCTCAGTCCCCAGTGGAGGTCTCCTGGGGTCCCTGGAGGAGGCCCCACAGGTGCCCCAGGTGTGCCTACAGGCTGGCACTGGTCTGGTGCAGCAGGCAACCAAATGGTCTCTTCTACCGACTTCTCCAAGCGTTGCCCCATGGGGCTGTGTCCAGGAAGAGGCCACATGGGAGCAGCTCAACTCGCCTTCCTGGACTAGGCAGAGGCTCACAGAGTGCCTATAGCAGGACAGAAGAGAGTACGGCTGTTCACCAAGCAAGACGGCACTGAGGGCTGCAGCTGCCAGAGACAAGGGGCAACCAGGGACCAGGCAAGGAAATCCCAAGGAATTAATCTCACCATAGTATCATAGTAACACAGTACTCTCCAAAAGAGCCTATCTGGCTCGGTTTTTTTGCCCTGCAACACCCTAAAATGTCCCTGTAGGTTTTCTAGGAAGAGGTACATCTGGCAGGTAAACAAAAGGCACCCACGGCAAGCTTCTGCCATTGAAGAAGGGGGTGCCCCTGGAGAACATCGGGCTGCACAGTTGTCTATGTGAAATCTGGAACGTGGAGGGAGTTATATAGAGATCAGCTGGAAAAATCAACACCGAAGGCACATGAGCCAATCTGAGACAGGAGTCGCCCAAACACACTTCATTAGATGTGTGTCAAGGTCAGGTTACTGACAACTGCCCTCCCAGTGAGGGTGCATTCAGTAGGTGAGGCAGGGGCAGCTGCTTCCTGCCTGACATCCCTCTCTGCAACCCCATGAGTAACTCTGTGGTCTCCACCCTGGCGAAGAACTGGAGGTGCGTTGCCATACAGGGCTGTCCGCCGCTGAAGCCCCTCTGCTGCTACCACACTGCACATGGTGGTAGCAGCACATCACCCTGGTCTAGAAGACAGTGCCAAAGGGGCGGGAGGGTCTACGGAGAATCTTCTAGAACATGGTACTCTATAAGCACCTCTTGGTCTGTCCAGCAGACTAGATGCTAAGGAGCTGGAGGCCAGTTGTCGGGATTCTCGTGACAAGAGCAGCCTAGGCTGGTGGCAATGAGAACACTGCATCCGGCCATATGAAGGCCTTAGACATGGTGGCAGCTTTTCACAAAGGCCAATTCAGGGCATGAAGCGTCATTCCAGGCCATGGGCTATTTTTTTTCTCTCATTTTAAAGTGACAATAGCTGCATTGAGCTCATGGGAAGAAATGCACATTCTTCCTATTTCTATTATCTACAAAACCAAATAGCAGAATTTCAATGAGAAAGCTGAAGGCTACTATTTTTCAGCCACTTAACTCTTCATCTCTAGGCATGTATAAGACATCTTCCTAAGGAGAGGGCTCGGCAGCTTTCTTGTGATGTGGAGAGAAGGGGGCGCGGAGTAGCCAGGTGGCTGCATGCAGACCCGGGCGGCACATTACTCCTCGCTGCCTTATGCTGCCCCCTCCTTCCCCTCCATCCAGAGCCTGCCCAGCAGTGCCTGGGTTTCACCTTTTTCCTGGGGCTCTCGACTTCTGTCTACTAGTTCCTGGGGCACAATCTGTCTCTCTCCTGCAGGTCATGCCACCTCTGAGGTGCTGCCACGACCATGTTCACAGAGGCATCACAGCCCCGGCATGGACGGCAGTGCCCCAGGGACCGGGAGCAGCTCCTCGTGGGCACACATGAATTCCGCTCAGCACCCAAGTGCCTGCTTCTGAGAGGACTGCCAGCCAGAACCACCAGCCTCCCTCTCAGACATTCCATTTATGCTCTGATAAAAGGTGGGGGCCAGCAGCTGGTGTAACAGTTACGTCGCTGGAATCCCAGACTGACCGCAATCTGAGTCCCACACCTGGTGGCCTGAAACTCACGCCAGAAGCCTGGGCACATGTACCCAAGCTCCTGGGAGGAAAATGGAGGGGAAAGGACTGTGGTGTGGCCATTCTGCCTACGGGGGTGATTTCTCACTTTCCCTTTCACCATGTCTATCTCTCTCTCCTCTCTCGGCAAGCACATGTGTCCTAAGGCAAAAAGAAAAAGAAAAAGTGGCATGTGAGGCCATCAAGCTAGCATACTGATTAAGATGCTGGATCCCACCTGGCTAACTCTGTGGTTCAAGCCCCAGGCCCCGCAGTTTATAAATCATGCCTGGTATGTGTGCGTGCATGCCCCAAATCCTGAGAGAATGTAGAAGGGATTCTAGTGTGACCATCCCCCCCAGAAAATGATTTCTCGCTTTCTCTTTCCCCATCTGTCTCTGGCAAGTGCCCTTGCCCTATGGCAAAGAATAAAAAAGAAAAAGAAAAAGTGATGTATAACTTACTCAAGAAACTACTACTAATTTTTTATTTTCATAAACTGCCTTGAGATTAAACCCAGCAAAGAGAAGCTCTGTCTGGTCTGCTGCAACTGCACTAAGAGAAGTTCACACAGGGCCCTGACGTCACGGGGGAAGGCGGTTAGAGAAGAC